CCCCAAAACCCCAAAACCCCAAAACCCCAAAACCCCAAGAAGCAGAATTCAAGTTGAAACATTCAATTTTTTACTAGCGGAAAAGATGGATAAGGGGTTTAGGGCTTAAGTGGTGACATAGAGCGAGGAGTCAGCTCAGGGAGCCCTAGATTGGATAAATTTCCACCTTGCTCACAAAATAGGATATTTTGGAACTTTTTCTGAAATTTAATTCCATCCATCTAATTTGCCAGTATTTAATCTGACTTGTTTTAATCAGATAATTTAGAGGGCTTAGAGCCTCCTGTTTTTAAAGCTGAGTTCGCTTTATGGGAAACTTCAGTGTCACAGCATTGTCTATATCCAAAGTTTAGTAGATTCTACAAATATCTAAGGCTGTTGAGCAAAGCTGAGAGGTAAAATTACCTGATGTACCAAAATAAAACATTTAATTCTTTATGAATTTTATGACAATAAAGTAAATGACATTATTATCATCCATGGTTTGGGGCTTATAATAGCCTTTATAAAGTTTGCATTGGTAAAATCTGCCAACAGCTAATTTCTAAAACCTTCTCTATTTTTATAGATGGCTACAGCTGTTTTATAAAAAATTGAGAAACATTTTCTAATTATTTTGATGCTTCACGGAAATATTATCCTCCTCTATCTAAGTTATTTAATGTAATATTATCATGGCACAAATGGAGCTTGGAGACAGATATTTTAATAGTGTAAACTATCTTCATAAAGTTTTAGCATAAAACACAAATGTTATATATTATTAGAAATATCTTACCTCTTGCTTCTCGTGTTCTTGGATACCATATATTTTCTTTTCTTATTGAGTTCACTCTTAGCTGTTTCTTCCTTCTGTCCCAATCAGCAATCATGCATCTTTTGAATCTGATCCATTCTAATCTTGAGCTCCTTTTCCATCTCTTTCTTCATCTCTTTCTTCATCTCTCTCTTCTTTTGCTTGAAGTCTTTCTCCATCTGTGTTTTATTCTTCAAGATCTCTGAAGCAAACTTATTTTTGTTCTTTTCAAGCAACAACTTTTGTGTCAAATTCTTGGTTTCCTTCCTGTCTCTCTCACTCTGGTCCTTCAATCTATTAACCTCTTGTTTTTTCTGACTGAGTTCCTTCTGCAATCTCTGAATTGTCTGCTCCTTTTCTTTTAGCTTCCCCTCTCAGAAATCTATATTCGTGAGGAAATTTAGGATGATTTTCAAAATTTGGGTGTTTTGAGCATACCGAGAGATTCTTTGTTCATCTTGCAAAATATATTTGTTCAGAAAAGATTAAACTTGCTTGGAGGTAACCAACAGAGAAACCCCATTTAGTAAATTTAAAGTGTTAAATATTTAAGGCTTATTTGGGGTTTTGGGGTTTTGGGGTTTTGGGG